CAGCCAAATTTGACCTCCCTGACAGGTTTTTATGTAGTCTTTCTTTATCCCACTTAGCATTAATTCTCATATATTTTGCTGCAGAAATGCTAGTGTATTTGATTGCAGGTGATGCCCCAAACCATATTGTCATGTGAGTCACAATACTTTATAAAATCTGAAAATTTCCAAATCCTGAAACATTTTGCCCTACTAGTTCCAAATAAGGGACTATGATCTGTAGTACTTTGCTATAAGTGAAGTCCAAAGGAATATAAAGAGGAAAAATTTCAGATGGACTAGCAGTGTAAATATTGAGGGAAGTCTTACTGGGAACCCTGGGGAAAGGGTATCTTAGTCTGTTTGGGCTACTGTAACAAAATATCATAGACTGGGTGGCATATAAACAAATTTATTTCTCGCAGTTGTGCAAGCTAGAAGTCTGAGATTAGGGCGCCAGTATAATCAGGTTCTGGTAAGGACCCTCTTCTGAAATGCAGACTTCTGTGGTCATCTTGCTGTGTCCACATGTGGCAGAAAGAGAACAAGAGAATGATAAGGTCTCTTTACTAAGGGCACTAATCCTGTTCATGAGGACTCTACCCTCATGACCTAATTATCTCCCATAGGTCCGACCTCCTAACATTATCACAATGGGGGTTAGGACTTTAGCATGTGAGTTTTGGGAGAACACATTCAATCCATGACAAGGACTATGCTGGTGTATCATTCCACCAGCATATAGTGATAGGAAATGTTAAAGGAAAAATTATTCTGACAATTATAAAAATGGAAAGGAAGACTTTATTTAGGACTATTGTGATAGGTGTTAAGACTACTGAAATAAGGGAGAGAAATTGGGCTTAACTCCTAATACACCAAAGACAGCTGGGTGGTTTATAATCAGTAAAGTGAGGGAGATGGTGAATAGATTACTAAGTGGAGGCATTGGGGGAGTTCTTGCTGAAAGCAGACCAGGGTGATATTGTGGGGGATGAGGGATTTGATCAGTTATGGAGGGTGATCAGATACCCAGTGTAGGGGATTCTCTCTAAACTGCTTTAGCAGGATTCTTTCAAACACTGGACTAGTCAGGCCAAAGACAGGGCCCAAGAACAAGGCCTAATCAAAAAGAAAACTCAGAGGAGCCTGTCAAAAAGTTGGTGAAGAGTCATTGAAGCTGGACACAGTCCCTGTGTACACTGTTTACCATCCATATTTCTAAGAGAAATTGATATCTTGAAGTGAGGTATTGCCATAACAAAAACAATGCATAGCATTGGCTTAACATTCACATGACAAGCAGGTGGGGCATATATTTCAGGCAACAGTTTCTCACGTACTCAACTGATAACTCTATGGGTAGCAGTTGGGAAAAGACAGAACGTTAAATGAATTGGCTGTTCCTTAATGCTCTTAGCAAGGTATCACAAAAAATACTTACCAATTTCCAAGCAGAGATGGAAAGGAATAAAGTTCAGATACCAGGAACCTCACAAGATTAGAAAAGCCAATTTTTCTAAAACCTGAATAGCAGGATAAAGGTTCAAAATTATTTTATTTTTGAAGTGTAGGAGGTGGAAGGGAAGCCTGTTAAGACTTCCTTGCCAATTGTTATGCCAAAGGAACACAGCCCTGCAGCAAAACTCGGGGTATAGCATTCCCAGTAGTGTTATTTTCAGTTGGTCCCAAGATAGCCTCCATTAAACAGGGGCAGGACCCTGTAAGGAAAGAAAGCATACTTTGAGAATTTGGTCTACAAAAGAGTTTGGTTATATTCCTGGCATACAGAACTGGAAGTATATAGATAGAAAGGCTTGAGTTTTTAAGGGAATTGTACTGCCAAAGAAATGTGAGCTTGACCTTAAAATGAGGGATATCAAGCTCACACCGGGAGGATGTGGACTGTTTTCACACCCCCCACGGAGGGAACACTCCCTACCTCTACTTCAGATGAAGCCATGGAGGAAAATTGATAAGGAATTACTTTTCAGGAAAATAAGGGAGATCTCGCCAGAGATCAGGATGAGAGTTTAATCAAGGAACTTCTCTGCTATTAGGAACAAAATCTTCACAAGGTCTCTCAGGAGCATTCCAAGATTGCTTTGAATGTGTTTCCCTTTATTCCATTTTCCAAACTGAGAGTTTGTATTTGGCTATCCTGTCCCCCCTACAGCTTTTTAAATGGGCAGGGGCAAGGGTGAGCGCAAACAATTTGCCTATCAGTTTAAAGGTTAGACTATTAGAAGCCATATCTACACTGATGGACTGTAATAGAAATCCTGGATTTTGAGCTGAACCAGGAACTGGATGAAGGGTTGAGCATGTTCTATGAGAGGGGAGAAGGCTGTGCACAGATACTTAGTTGTAAAAGAAGTGGGCTGTGGCTGGGGCTGCTAGTGGCCAACAAAATTCATCTGCTTCCATAGTAATACAGTAGTCCCCACTTTTCCACAGGGACATGTTCCAAGACCGCCAGTGGATGCTTGAAACTTCAGATAGTACCAAACACTATATACACTATGCGCAAATTTTTTTCCTTCTTGACAATTTCGTGGATACAAGATTCATTCTGATTTGAGGTTTTCAAGAGTAATTTTAAACTTCCTTTTTCAAAAGTAATCTTTTGCACTGATTTTAGCACATAATTACATATCAAAGTAAAATTTGATAAAAATTAAAAAGATTCGTTCTTACTGTAGATCTTAGCAACCTCGGCATGATTTTTTTTTTTTTTTTTTTGTCAAGAACTTTCGCCTTTTCATTTAAAGGAAGTACTTTACAGCTTCTCTTTGGCATATCCAGACTGCCAGCATCACTACTCTTGCACTTTGGGGCCATTAGTCAAGAACTTTCGCCTTTTCATTTAAAGGAAGTACTTCACAGCTTCTCTTTGGCATATCCAGACTGCCAGCATCACTACTCTTGCACTTTGGGGCCATTATTACGTAAATTATGGGTTATTTGAACACAGCACTGTGAAACTCGATGGTTTTATCTATTAACCTAGTCAGCTACTAAGTGACTAAGGGGTGGTACTGTCTACAGCACAAATATGGTAGACAATATTTCGGAGGATTCATGTGCCAGGCAGGACAATGCAAGACCGTGCAAGATTTCATCACACTTTTCAGAATGGCATGCAATTTAAAACTTATGAATTATTTCTGGAATTTTCCACGTTTTCAGACAGTGGTTGACCACGGGTAACTGAAACCTTGGAAAACAAAACCTTGGATAAGAGGGAACTACTGTACAGTTGTAGCTGGAATATGGCTTCACAATTGGGGAATAATTTCTCAGCTGCTCTTACATATAGATCTAACTAAGTCTCCACGCTACTGGAACATGAGAATACACAAGCCATTTCCAGGCCTGGTTCATAAAACCTTGCATTGGTGTACTCCTATGCTTTCTGCCAGTTAGAATGGTGATAACTAGAGTGACTTGGAAGCAGTGACTAAAAACAGTAGATGCCATCCTCAACCAAAGTCTCTGAATATTTGTGTGGGACAAAGCCTGTTAGCCTGTAATGCTGACCTCAGGAACCAGTGGTTGGGAGAGAAACGTCTGTATTATTATATTCTTTATTGCCGGGTCTCTTGTTAACAGTAGCTTAGTCTACCCTAAAAAATACAACGTCCTTTCCCCTGGATATCTTGGGTTCCTTTCTTTGAATGCTTTGCTTTTATTTTTTAAATTAATGTGAAATATTTGTATTAATAAAAATATTATTCCCCTAAACATTCAGTAACTTAACATTTAAGACATGCTATTTATCCTGTGGCACTGAACAGCCCTTGGATACACTACTACTCCTACATACCCCATTTATTTAGGCAACTATATCAAAACACACAAAGTTTCTGAAACAGCTTTTTATTAAACAGCAAAGCAGAATTGCAACACAACTTTAAATATCTATAAATTAGGTCACAAAAGGGATGCAAAATGTTTGCAGTACAACTAGTATATATTCATACAGATAACTTCATTCATCAAATCTTACACCAATACATAAGATTATTCCATGATTAAAAGTCCAAATCTAATTACCATAAGCTATATTAGTGGATCTCTTTTCCTATTATAATATTTTAACATTACTTCTGATATTGATTCCCTTACCAAATAGAATCTACAAACTAAATTATTTAAATCTGTTAAAGGATGACTAAAATTCTACAAACCAAGTAGTCAAGTTTACAGAAAAACCTGGGAGAACAAATGAGATAAAATACTGAGGGAGATTATCAATTACTATATATGTTAAACTCTCCCATTTTATTCATGATTCTGATACTAATACACTCAAGGAATTTTGTAAAAAAAGTTGATCTGCTGAGTAAAAAACCTTGAGACCAAACTCTCTGTAACTGTTCTCTTAACAGATGTGGCTTACATAAGGTTAGTCAAACAATCCATTTTCATGTAGTTAATCCATTTGAAAGGTGCTTCAAAAACTTCGTGTAAAAAATGATATTAAAAGATAATATGAATCTTTCTGTGAACTTTTTGAAGATTCCTTGCATTCTCCAAAAGATCCACTCTGTGTCAGAGATAACACAAACCTGGAGTGAAAATGTCTGGAGTTGGTTCCTGTTGTTTATCACGTACTTTTCCATTCTATTCCTATTTTTCCTCAAGATTTTCTATTTTAAAAACACACATGACCAGAACTCATATCTTTTCAGATACTAAGTGGGTTATTTTGTGCAAAATCAAGTTTTTAACAAAAAGTCTTCCCAGTTTGGCAATTCCATTTCAAAGAAAAATTTTCCTTTTTGTAGCTTCCTTCTGTTTTCATTTGTTAAAGAGAAACCAGCAATCCTATCTTATTACTAAATATCACAAGTGACAAGCTCTAGCTGAGAAAGTAGATTATTTTCATTAAGTTTCAACAATTAAAGTTCAGGTTACTCTCGTAGGTGATTTAACTATTAAAATTACTTTCATAAATGTGAAACCAATTGTTTCCTTAAAGGAAGGGAAATGGGAAGGAAGAAGCCAGTGGGGAAGAGGCACACAATGGTGGACAGAGTACATAAAGCTGTGCATTCAATACTGATTTTGGTCACTTTTTCACAACATGGTGATTATTTTCTTGTATATTTTACTAAACTTATAATAAAAGACAGTGCTAACCTATAAATCAAAGCAAATTCGTTAAAACGTTCATTTTCAAGTTTCATAAATATATGCAATTCTAATTATAAAGTTCCTACAGTACATCTGCACATTTTCATAGACTAATATAATATACAAACTTATGGAAGTCTCCTGTTAATGCTGTTAATTTTGCCTAGATCTGACATTATCTTCATAAATATTCAATGAATCCACAAACAAAAGTACTGTAACTTTTGGAATCTATCCAAGTTTTACAGAAATGATCAGCAGCAATTCCATAAAGGGATATCAATCCCTTACTTTCTTTTGCTTTTTGTGTCAGTTGTTTGAAAAACACTAGAAGCTGACATGAGGTTTTCTATATATTGTCCAAGAACTTGGTTTTCTGATTTTAGCTTCAAATTTTCTTCCTTAACTGCATCAACTCTTGCAGAGAGATCTATGTAAAAATATAAAAATGCCCATTATCAATAAAATGATGGCAAAGACTCTGTATTAGGAAATGCTTAAGCCTCATTCTTAAAAGAGATACCACAATCCTTAAATTTTCTGTTTTTAAATTCCTGTTACTTTAGAGAAGTTAAGGTTAGCAAAGTAAACTGAGTGCAAGTCAGTAGACAATAATTCCTAGGTTTAACATTAGACTAAATGTTATTCTTTGTAAACAGCATTTATGTTGAATAGGGTTCTGAAGGACAAGATCAGCTTACTCTGGTGCCCCCAAAATAACAACCTCTTAATTTCATTACAAACCAAAAGATGTTTCAGTGGTAGTATTCATTTTATGAAAGACATTTACAAAATGAAAAAACTCAGATCAATTCCCTTTTAATCTCTGAGGCTAATACATTGTTTTCACTTTAAAATAAGCTTTATTAAAGTGGACTCAGTAACACATTGTGGGTTCTTAAAGGGGGCTCTCATACTAAATAGTGTTATGTTAGACCATAAGACGTAAGCATGAGAATACTATTTGACTTTCCTGTTAAAGCATATCTGTTCTATAAAACCACCAGACAAAGCTACAGGCAGGAGGAAAAAAAAAAAAAGAATATTGAAAAAGTATATACTGAAATGGACTTTGGAGTTTACACTTTTTAAATTATACACCCTAACAAACAAAATTTAGCAACATAAATGATTATAATTTCAGTTAATTGGATGTCATTCAAGAAAACTAAAAAATCTAAACTAACCTTCAAGTGTGTGTTGAAGTTCCAACACTTGATTAATAAGTCGTGTCTTTTCCTCCAGTTCCACCTGATTTTCAGCATCAACTGCTATAATAAAAAGGTTGAAATTTACTATTAACAGTAGGTACCACATATGTAGTATAGTGCTTAAAAATCTGAAAAATGGTTCATATTATCTTACTTATAAAGAGCCCTTTGAAGTAAAAAGTTATATCCCCACACTGCAGATGATAACACTAAGGTGAAGATAAAAATGATTTGCCAACATCTCAGTTAAGGAATGAAAGCTGCCTTAGATCCTTTCTAAAATTAGATGGGATATCAATAAGTAAATTAGCCAAGATCCAAGCCTTCTAAATATTGTTTCTCTGCTATTTCCATTGTTTAATAAAGCAAAAGCATCCACAAAAACAGGAACATACAAAACAGAAAATGAAGAACATACCATCCATGTCAGCATTCATCATCTTGGGTAACAAACTTTTGAACCTTGAATACAAAATCCTTGATGAATGGTCTGCAATAAGAAAATGTTAGTAACATAGACACATATAAACTTGGTTTTTTGTTTGTTTTTTTTTTAAAAAAGATTTCTTATTGCAAAGGGCATAAAGAAATATGATTTTTAAGAATGAATATGCTAATAAAAATTTTTTAAAAAAAGATGAGTTAGTCACATTACGTGACCCAGCAGAAGCCTATTCATATGCTTTACTGTTTCTAAGAATAAAATAAATTCCCAATGGGTAAATAAGCAAAGAATACAATCAATACAGTTTACAAAGAGAAGTATTAAGTAAACAAGATAAAATGTTGAGCTTCTTGCTAATCAAAGAAATACATAAAATTAATTACCACTAATTTATTAAGCAGGTTTTAAAGGTAATAATCTCGGCTAGCGAAGAGTTATAGGAAACAAATATATAGATATTAGACCCAAATTTTAAATATGTAATTTTTTTGGAGAGCAGTACTATAATAAACAAGATTCATTAGTATTTTACTCTTGGAAATTTAGCCTACAGACAATTACAAAGAAGGAAAATGTTACACAGTCATCCCTCAGTATCTTCGGAGATTGGTTCCAGGACCTTCTGCAGGCACCAAAATCCACTCAAGTCCTTGATATCAAATGGTGCAGTGTTTGCATATAACCTATGCACATGCCTTGGTATTCTTTAAATTATCTCTAGATTACCTACAATACCTAATATGATGTAAATGCTATGTAACTAGTTGATACACTGTATTGTTTAAGGAATAATACAAGTGAAAAAAGTACATGTTTCAGTACAGGTGCGACTTTTTTTTTTTTTTTTTTAATATTTTGACCCACCACTGGCTCATTGGTTGACTCCACAGATGCAGAACCCACGGGTAAGGAGTGCCAACCGTAAACATAAAAATCTTCACTTCACCCTTATTTACAACCTAGTAAATTTTACAACAGTTGTAATTTTTAATGGAGTAACTACTAAAAGTAATTATAATGACTATAATAACATGGAAGAATGTTTACAAAATTGTATATTCATTGTTGTAAATTATGTAAGATATATGTAAATATGGTTAAAGAGAACACAGCAAAATGAAAAAAGCTCATATTAAGAATGTTGGTAACCCTTTCTCAAAATATTCTTCATTATTCAAGTATTATTTTACATATACTTAATTTTTTATACATAAAATTCAAAAAAATACAAAATATCTGATATACTGATATGGAATAAAGGAAAAATGTCCATTTGTCACCTCTGGTTATGGTTAAATCAAAATCAACTAATCATGATGTAGATAAGTAAATAAATATTAACATTTTATTATTTCAATTAAAGGCTCTAAAATATTAGAGCACAAAATCCCTATGAAATATGTTCTGCTCCATTGCTAACAATCATTTCACATTCAAGGTGCTCAATATGCATTAAATAATGCTAGTAAATTATTACTGAAAACAGATTTGTCAACCGATCTAATCTACAACACTGAAGCAACCTAAACCTATCTTATCAATATTGTTATTCTTTCAACAAGTATTTATTGAACCCCTACTATACCCATGGCATTGTTATGCCTACATTTACTAAAAAGTGGAACATAGACCTATTGAACAAGGAGGTCTACATACTAGAACTAGAACCACTGTCGACAGATATCAGTGTATTGTATATTTCCTCACAACTTCAGTTAATATAATTCATGTTACACTTCAGATACCACCATGAACATGGAAATAGAATACCCATTGTACATATGTGTAAACTACTTCTCAAGTAAGACATCACTCATTAGTCTAAAAAAAAAGATATGAAGCATCCCTTACACAATCTTACACAACCTTATTAAATAATTAACTGCAAATGGTATACAGTTAACTTAATAATGCTTAATAAACCTACTCCAAGTCTTCTAGCATCTTTCTACTTATCTAAGCAGCACTTAAAGCTGATTTCCCCCAGCTCTTTTTCACATGGTTTTAATTCTCAGGTTCTCTGCACTTCAGAGAAAGTATATATTAGTATATCTATGTACATCCAGACAGATTGATACTAAAATTTTTTCAGAAATTCTTTTAAAGTTATTCAACCTACTGTAGCATTCGAAGACTACACTTCAAAAATTATTCCTCTCCATTCAATCAACACCACTTTAGAATTGAAGAGGAAAAGTGTTAGCAGTGAAAACTTGATAGGACACCTCCCTGAAAAAAGAGCACATTTCTTTTTTTTTTTTTTTTTTTTTTTGCCTTTTTCGTGACCGGTAAGGGGATCGCAACCCTTGGCTTGGTGTCGCCCGCACCACGCTCAGCCAGTGAGCGCACCGGCCATTCCTATATAGGATCCAAACCTGCGGTGGGAGCGCCGCTGCGCCCCCAGCACTGCACTCTCCCGAGTGCACCACGGGGTCGGCCCAAAAGACCACATTTCTAACAAGGTGCCAGTCACCCTCACCCTCACTTTTCACATCATTTCAACCACTGATCTGGCTAAAGCAGGTCTGGGAGAGATGACAGAAGCAACAGCCAACAGCAAAAGTAAGTGATCAAAAGCGGACTGTGATTTGGTTATTGGCTTGATAACTAATAAAAAGTACTTCAAATTTCTAATATGTAGTATTTTTAAGAATACAGCTAAAACATAATTTTCACGAGAGCTGAGAAGAGTTTACAACATATACAAGCCAAAACAACAAATAATCACCAAATCAATATACCTGATTTTGAAATCAGATGTAGTACACAGATGGGATATTCTTCTTTTGCTTGTGTTTCAGTCTAAAATTAAAATTAAATTCCACAAAAAGACAAGTGTTCCAAACCAACCAATGAGGTAGGCAAAGACAAAGAAGTCAGTTTCTGAAATGTTAGCCAGATATAACCCAAACCAAAGAAAATCTATGCATGGCTTATCAACAGTTTGACTTCATCTGAAAAAGTGAAAAGGAAAAAAAGCAGAAAAACAAGATGCACAGGGCTTATTAGAGAAAAAAATTACTCTAAAAAACACATTCAAGATTGAGGTGGGGGCAGGAACACAAAAGCAGTGCCACAAAGGCACTGCTATAGAATATACTGCACAACCCCAGACAGCACTGTTTACATCACAATCCATGTAAGATCACACCCGGAGGGTTGTACAATGCAAAACTTGCCCAACTGTATGTGGCAGCCCTGTGCAAAAGGACATTACTCTTTAAGAAAGTGGACTAGAGCATTACCCACTGACTCTCCACAACAGCAAAAAAAAAAAAAAGTAGCAATTTTCTTTTACTGTGATGTGGTTAAATAAACCACCTCAAAAAGCTACTATTATATATATTTAAAGTCTTGCATTAGATTTAAAATTATAAACCGATTTATTTTACATATGGGATCAAAAGGTTTGTTGAACAGCTTATGTCAAAGTATTTTAGCTATGGATTTTATTGTCTTTCAAAGCAGGATCAATCTTCAAACTGCACAAGGTCTTCATTAGCACAGTATTACATCACAATAGGTACTTAATACATTGAGTTTTTCAACTATCATGAAAATCAACGGCAATGTATATTGAGAAGTTAAAATTTTAAAAAATCCTTTTTTACCTGTAGTTGCTATCATATCAATCCAATTCCATGTCAAATGTGCTCTAAAGAATTCATTTTCAACTCCTGCTCCTACGCATAAATGCAAATCTGACATGAAAAGAGAATCCAGACCAAAGCATCCCAAGTGTGGAAACACGAAATGAATTCGGGGTGCTAAGGCTGGTCTATCCTAAACGTGCCTCAGCTCCAAAATGGGTATGGTTTTCCGAAATTCTCCACCTCTGATCCAGAACTTTTCTCAAAAATCACAGTAAATTTTGGTGCCTATCCATATCTAGCCTCAGTTAGTGAAAAAGAATCTAGAATTACTTTTGATGGTTTAAGTCCAGGAAGCAGAAAGTATGAAGAGAATAAGGATCAAAAAGTATAGCAAACATTAGAACAAGATCCATTTAATTAAATAATCTTTTCCATGCCCACATATCTGTAACTAAAGACTATCATCTTACCAAATATAATATATATTTTATAATACCTCACATAGTAACCCTACATCCCTCTTCTCAAAAGGCAGTTTAGCACAGTGATTAAGAACATGAATTTAAGATTACCTGGATACCTGCTATTTATATGTTCTGGAACCCTAGGCAAGGTTAACATCTCAGCCTCAGTTTCCTAACCCGTAAAATGGGGATAATAATAATATGTACCTCATGGGTTTGCTGTGAAAATGTAGTGAGTTGATAACATATTATGTGCTTGCAACAGTACCTAGAACAAACACAGCAGGTATTCAATAAGTGTTAACTATTATCTTCTCTACCTTTTAGCTCTAATTCAGTCCACAAAAAGAATTTTAGACAAATTTGGTCCAGGTGCTTCATTTCACTAAGAAACCAAGGCCAAAGAAGAGAAGGGCTTACTCAAGATCACAGTAATAGTTACCGACAGAGCCAAGACTACAGCCAATGTCCCAATCTGCTTTATTTCACCATCTCACCACAGCTATGCTCACATCTGAGACTTGAGATCTGAGACTTTTTCCTACAGTCTGTCCAACCTCAACCGCACAACTCTCCAGCACCTAAAATCAATTTTCATTATTTGTCATCCACTTCCTATATGCTAAAATAATGTCTTTGTGCATTAAAGTGCTAAACAGTTTACATGCTACTATTATTTCATCAAATCAACAGAAGAAAACTGCAACTTACAGATGTGGACACTAAATCTGAGAAAGGCTAGGTAATCTTACCTCGGGCTTCACAACCAATATCTGTACCAAGAATTTGAACCCAGTCTAACGTCATAGGCCCTGTTTTATCCATTATACAATGAAAGAAACTTTAATATGGCTCTAATCTAGATTTGCCAAACATTTTGCAAACCCTGATGTCAAACTCCTTTGGTATTCTACTAACTAAACAACTGAAGATAAATTTCATTCCCTTCGAACTGCATCAACTTCAACATGGTTTGTTTGTTCGGATCTGTCCAAAAGTTCTGCTTTGACTCGTTCTGGTTAGATAAGTCGTTTCAAATTCCACGAAATCAATAAATTGGTAAATGAGGATTTAAACGAGAGCTAGATCCCCAGAGTGGCTAGCTACACTGAACTTAATAAAAAGTACAGGCACAGAATACACAGGTATAGCCTTGTGTCCTCATATATAGATACCTTGTTGGAAACACCTGAAATAGCATCTGTCCTTAATATTGTTACGTAATGCTCTGAGGCTGATACATTGTATGACAAGTCCTGCCGTTCAGGAATGTATATTCTGCTTCCCAAGTCTTACTCCCCAAACGTTCCGGAGCTGCTCTCAACGCCTGCGAAGATGTTAAAGCCCTTATTTTACCGCTCACTGGCCTCCTCCCCACCTCAACGTCCTCTCCCATCACCCTGGCTCCTCCGGAGTAGCCACAGGCAAGTCCAGGCGTGTCAGGTCCCGTCCCACCCAAAGCCCCTCTGGCAGTCCCATTCCAGAGTAGAAGCCCGGACGGGGGCCCCCAACCCACGAGCAGCAGGATGTCTGCGTCAGGAACCTCTGGGCGGGGTAATGAAGTCGAGAAAAAGAGGCTGCGCAGGGGTTCTGCAGGGAGCCAGGCCTCCGCCGCCCACCACACGCCCAGGCCCGAGGCCGCTCTTCCCAGGCCGGGGTGCGCCGGCACGCGCCCAACCCGCCCCGCCCTCCAGATCCTCCGCGGTAAAGAGGCCGCAATTCCAGTCTCCCGGAGCCAGGTCCTTAGCTGCCCAGGACGGCCCTCACCTTCCGCTTGAGGAGGAGCCGGGAAGGGGAGGGACTGGGAGGACGCCTCACGCTCGGACACTTGGATCCACTGACACCGGCAGCTCCGCGCCCCCTCCGCCTACAGAGCGTGCGCCGAGAGAGAAGTCCCGCCCCGTCCCTCCTCGTCACCCGCCAATCCCAACTCAAGAATGCACGCCTGCGCATTAGCTGTCCGCCGCCCCAGGCGTCCTATCTCAAAGCACCAGGATCCGCCTTTGCCATAACAAAAGGGCATTGACATCCAATCAGGATTGAGGTCGTGGTGGGCGGGTCCGAGAAGAGCAACAGCCAATGACAGTACGGGAGCGAAGCTAAGCGTGTGAAAGCCAGTCCTAGCGGAGCAGCGCTTCAGTCTCATCAGGAACCTGAAAATTGGGGTTTGAAATCCAGTATGGAAAATCGTGACTGTTGTCAAGGAGGTTGGTATAACCAAATGCCGGGCGAGGGAGAAATCATTCAAATTCAAGAAAAGGTCTTTGCTGATAGAACAGAGAAAGCAAGCCAATGCAATACCGTGGTTCAATTCTAAAAGCAGAATTTTTCGTATGTTTTTACTTCCCAAATCGGGAAGCTGATAAAACGTACCGCTAGTGGAATATTCCTCTCCATATCCACCCCCCCCCACACACACACTATTACTAAATCTATAGTGCATCTGACCATTTAATAATTCAAAATTGAGAAAATACCTTCATAGTACTTTGGTATAGCTCTTTCGCTGATCTTATTCTATTTGATGCTCATAGCAACACACAGAAAGAAACAGAAGCTTAAGAGTAAAAACATTTCTTGTTCAAGGCCATTTACACAGGTAATGGTATTCAACTCTGTACCCCACAGATATGCATAATCAACTATGTTACAATAAAAAAATATGTATATATAAAATAACTATACATTTGGATGGGACTACAATACACAATTTGAGGAAATTTACTGCAGTGCAATGCAGGAGCTAAATATATGGGCGGGAGGGGAGTCTAACATAAATCTAATACAAGTGCCAAAAAGAGAGACTAGAGAGAATGGATGCAGGCAGTATTCAAAGAGTAATTACTAAGACTTTTCCAAGATTGTGGAATATTTGAATCCTCAAATTCAAGAAGTAATTTTTCTTCAGCAGTATTAATACAAAGTATTCCATGCAGTGGTGAAACTGCAGAACACAAAA